GCATCAGGATTTAAAGCACCATTTATCAACTTGACATTTTTAGAAAATATTTGCGTAGCTACCCAGTATATATTAAAGATCAGGGAACAAAACACACAAACGTTACACAGGTTTGACATTTATGGGGCTGTGTATAACTGAATCATATAATGGACTACTGCTGAAAATTGCTCCTTAACATGTCAACCTAGTGCACTACCGACAATTAGTTTATTAAACTCATTAATGTGACTAGTTTAGAGCATATATAGACTAAGAAATCAAACAACAGTACTTTGGACAGCAGTGCCACTCTGTAAAGCTTTAGAGCAAAGTCCAAAAATTATTGAAACTTGGCTTTCTATCATAGGCTTCGATGAGCATTTGCTTTATTTGATGCGCAGCAGGAAAGTCTGCATGTAGTCATTGGTTTAATTATCTCCTGGATCAGAGCGTGATCTGTGCTACCAAATACATTGATGCGTGCAATAAACTTGCGTCAGTCAGGTGAATTAAAGGTCTCAATTGCTTAGGATGTCCAAATATTACTCTAGCCATTAATAAAATAATAGGCCTTTTCATTATTTTAATGACTGGTTAGACAAAATAAACCATGTATAAAATAAGTCAATGGAATAGTTATTCATGAGTTATTCAGTTTTCTCTTCAAGAGACTGCTCTGGTTTAAACCTTTAAACTATTGTTTGACCTGTATAATTTTCTTACATTAAATGAAGTGTTTACTTGAGGATGTCTGGCTAGCGTGCTTCTGAGCCAGCTGTGGTAGCTTGGTAACAGAGCCCTGACATCAACACTCAATCTATCGGCACAGTTCAGCACTGTTGTCTTCACTATGCTTAGAATTCCAGGCCGAGAACAGTTTGCAATCGTGCTACATGGTTCCAGGCTCAGTGGAGAAACCACTAACTGTACCGAAGGGTTCTTACAAAAGTTTGGCACGATAGTGGGAAAGCTTTTTTTTCTTTGAGAAGTTGAGCAGATGACATTTTTATAGTATATTTGATAGAAAATTAGACTTTCAAACCTGCTTTTTCTAATTTAGCAGTAAGCAGTTATTATTATTATTTTTTTAAAAAGGCTTGGTGACTGCTATTGTAAATTTTAGGAACTAATACTAAAAGTAGGGATGAATTGAACAAAACTAAACTTTGATCATCGATAACCCAGCATTTTGAGTAGTGTATCTACTTTTTCTGGACTGGAATATTGCCCTGACCCCTACACGTAACAAATTTATTTATTTAGTTTTTTGCTTTTTAAATGAGTTCAGATAAAGCTTAGATCTATATAAAGGGGAGAATGAAATGGCAATTTAATCTTAACCTAAAAATTAACTAACTGTTTGCTCACATCTGTGTCCTGTCCCATATGGACTGTGGGGATGGACTGAAGACTGGTGTGTGAACCTGAAGCCCAGAAAGGCTGGGAGTGCATGGCCTAAAAAGGTCTAACATCCTTAGGTTCCTCTTTCTGAACTGTCAAGTAGAAAAATATATAGCAGCAAATATGGCCTAACATCAGCAGTAACTAAATTTAATGCGGATGAAACAGCCAGGGCCGGCCCAAGCCTTCAGGGGGCCCTAAGCAGGATTTTATTTGGGGCCCCCTTGGTGCAAACAATATGACAAATTATTAAATATTGCTTAAATCACGATATCAATGATTCTGCTATTTTTTTATTTATTTTTTAAATTTTTTTTATTATTGATACATCACAAGAAAACCAGCCACAATATTTCACAATTTTGGTAAATGAAGGGAGAATGCATCAAATTTATGATTAATTTCTTTTATAAACATGCATTTATAGAATTACAACAATGTAAAACAAGTGCACATCTGTCAAACAATCTTAAATGCTGATGTGCAGAGAGCAGTTTGACTGAAGAGCATGCATAACAGCTGCAGAATATCAATTTTGTGCAATGTACATTTAATAAAAACTGTCAAAATAGTAATTTTATTGCTTTCTAATTTTCTGTAAACTTAAAACACTATTACAACTTCACCAACTAATTTTATGTAAACATGGAAACTTTTTATGCTTAGCCATGGTTTATTTTTAATTAAATATATATTCCCACAATTTTTTTAAAACTGATCAGAATGCTCTGAGAGGTGAGCACAGACTTCTCGGAGCACATATGTTTTCAGCAGTGGAGAACATTAGTTAGGTTTTTACTAAACTATTTAAGTTTATTTCCCCTAATATTTTTTTGCCAAAATACCATCTACAAGACTTTGACAAGTTTTGTAAGAGTCAAATAAACGCAGGGCCCTTCAAATTATGTCCATGTCCTATTGATATCTTTATATATTTTGGCGGAGTTAAAGTTTGAGCACAAGTTGCACTGGCCGCGGGCACACATGAGCGATTATAGCGAAGTGAAAGCTTCACTATAAGAAACTAGTGGCAAATTCGGGAAAGCTGGATGTCTGAAACGCAAATACATTGGCCCAGCTTGGACAAAAGAGTGTCTATATGCCTGAGATTTTCCCCATTGCAATAGCTCATCTGTCTGTCAGTTGTATACATGACGCTGGTGTATGTCCAATGATCCGCCATTAAGGGAAGCGCCACCTGGTGGCAGCTGGGTGTACTGTAGCTAAAGCGGTTATCTGCTGCAGTCAGTGTCAAACTGATTAATTAAATCAGATCTTTTGTAAAGTTGGGTAAATATCTTGGTGCCTGAGTATGTATTGCTGTCAGAAATAACACTATAAATGGGCATATATTTTGTCCCACCACTAATCCACAACTAAACAAACTAAAATGAAAGTCACACAATAATTTCAAGCACTCTTGGGGGGGCCCCTGGTGGCCACGGGGCCCTAAGCAGCCGCTTAGCTCACTTTTGCCTTGGGCCGGCTCTGGAAACAGCCCTAACCAACCCCCACCCCTAAACAACAGAGAAGCTTGGCATGTGTTTGGATCATGTTCATACTTTTTATAAATGGAATCTGCTAACCCAACAAAAATAGTTTGATTCTGATCATTTTAATGTCAGTTCATCTATTGGATCTTTCATATGCATCATGGTTTCCTTTTTTTTTTTTTTTTTTTTTTTTTTTTTTTTTTTTAAATAAATCTACATCTTGGTCATCTGGATTTCCTTAGTGCAATCTTTGAAAACTAATCAGTTTAACAATCCTCCTTTTTTCCCCTCTCTTCGAACACTAGCCTTATCTTGGATTGATGTCATCTACTTCGATACTATGTACTTGAATCATCATTTATTCCCATCCACACACCAATCATGGATCTTTCACCAAGATTGTTCTGTGTTCAGTTCTTTCTTGCATTGTCTTAACCAGCATTTTGAATCCTCTTCTACTTTTTTGTAGACCAAAATATACCACTGTCTTACACCTAACACTAACCACAAGGGTTTCTTAACCAATCCTAAACAAACTTCTCAGCAACAAATCATTTCTTAAAGCATTGAAGCAAAATTGACTAACCCATGTCTACCCTTAAGTCAAACCTAATTGTAAATAACAACCTTCCCTCAAACTTAACCCTAAAACCAGATGTTTTGTAACTGAAGTACATAAACAATTTTAACACACAACCCTAAACAAAATCTGGTCAGTTAAGTTGAGAACATAACCCCTACTGAACTGTACCCCTAGTTTACTGAATTAGTAGTTATTCATTAATATAATAATATATTCTTATAATACGTAGTCAACTAGGGGTAGTCAACTAGGGGTAGTCAACTAGGGGTAGTCAACTAGGGGTAGTCAACTAGGGGTAGTCAACTAGGGGTAGTCAACTAGGGGTAGTCAACTAGGGGTAGTCAACTAGGGGTAGTCAACTAGGGGTAGTCAACTAGGGGTAGTCAACTAGGGGTAGTCAACTAGGGGTAGTCAACTAGGGGTAGTCAACTAGGGGTAGTCAACTAGGGGTAGTCAACTAGGGGTAGTCAACTAGGGGTAGTCAACTAGGGGTAGTCAACTAGGGGTAGTCAACTAGGGGTAGTCAACTAGGGGTAGTCAACTAGGGGTAGTCAACTAGGGGTAGTCAACTAGGGGTAGTCAACTAGGGGTAGTCAACTAGGGGTAGTCAACTAGGGGTAGTCAACTAGGGGTAGTCAACTAGGGGTAGTCAACTAGGGGTAGTCAACTAGGGGTAGTCAACTAGGGGTAGTCAACTAGGGGTAGTCAACTAGGGGTAGTCAACTAGGGGTAGTCAACTAGGGGTAGTCAACTAGGGGTAGTCAACTAGGGGTAGTCAACTAGGGGTAGTCAACTAGGGGTAGTCAACTAGGGGTAGTCAACTAGGGGTAGTCAACTAGGGGTAGTCAACTAGGGGTAGTCAACTAGGGGTAGTCAACTAGGGGTAGTCAACTAGGGGTAGTCAACTAGGGGTAGTCAACTAGGGGTAGTCAACTAGGGGTAGTCAACTAGGGGTAGTCAACTAGGGGTAGTCAACTAGGGGTAGTCAACTAGGGGTAGTCAACTAGGGGTAGTCAGGGTTAGGGTTAGGGTTAGGGTTAG